TTATTACAGTTCTTTAACTTTTAATATTCAGATTGAAATATTATATTGTAATATTATAGCAGTGTTCGCCTGTATTTATAGGTCATTTAATTGGTTTTACAGTGTAGATATCTTTAATTAAACATTAAAAAGAGATTTAATGTCAAATTAAGGCTAAAAACTGTATTTCAATGATAGAAAAATCTGTTGTTTTTGTTTGGTTCCCCAGCTGCTGGAATATTACAGGTTTTTTTACAGTGTGGATCAGGATGAAGAGTCTTCACAGAGGATTCTGATCTGAAATCATTTCAGTCTCTGCATTATTGATGAAAACACTGAAGCAGCTGCAGCCTCTTGGATAATCAGTGATGATTAGAGTCGGATCCTCTTCCTGCTTTCTGACTCTGAGACTCTGCAGAACATTTACACCTGGTTGTTTTCATGCTGTGAACATCGGCAGTTTTAATACCTGTACAGAGCAGTCAGAGGTAAAAGACTGAACAGCCTTAAGGAACCGTTAACTCCTAAAGATCATGTCACAGTTAAATCTAACAGAACAGACGAATATAAAGCAAACCAATAAATAAAGTAACCTGAACCTGACACATACACAAACAATTAAAACACAATAAAAAAGAGGTGAAGATTCAAGATGGAAACTGAATTGTGTTTACACAGCAGAGAGCATTATCTACTTTTGACTTTGCCTTTTCGATGTGCACTATCACAGTTATTACCTCAGAAATAAAAAAGGATTCTATAATTTACAAAGTAAATATATTTTGTAGATAAAGGAATATTTTTCATTCATAATTTGTCTTCAATCTCATTTTGTTAAAAGAAATCAAATCCTGAACCCAGTATCGAGTTTTCAATACAATATGACAACATCACATACGGACGGAACTTTTATTACCGTCAACATCCACAGGTACAGAAAGCTGGTTTGTGATTGGCTGTCAGCTGTCTTTTAAAATCATATATAAGTACACCTCAACATAGTTGAACAGTTCATCCATTAAAAATTCGTCCTCAAGATATTTCAAAGAAATTACACACACACACACACACACACACAGTTATTCATTTCCCTCTGGTATCAGTCCACGCCTTCAACATATAAAAGGTCTCTGTCTGACTGACAGCAATAAACTGTCCCTCCAGGAAGTTGAACACAGATTTAACCTACCTGTGAATTTTGTGCAACCTTTCAATTTTGTCCAATCACCAAAACTTTGACCAATTGTTGTAGTTTCCTGCCAGTTTAACCGATCATAGCAGTCTCCCACGATTTCATAGCAAAAAAAGCCTAAAAACATGCGTCGCAATGTTTTTTAGAAAAGCTGCTGTGAAATTCTAGGCTGCAACAATCAGACCACAAAATGCTGGAGAGACTGAATAATCCGAATAATTATTTGGATGTGTAATTGAGCTTTTGATTTTTGATAAACAACATAAAAAATTTAAGGTATGCGGCATCATAATGCTTAGATTTTTGTAATGATATAAAGTCAACTTAAAGCACATGAGTCAATGGAACAAACAAGAATGAAATCGCCTATAATTAAAATTCGGCTTCAACAGTTCATTTTTGAGTTGGGTTTAATGTGAATGAGTGACTCCCATTTGTTTGGAGGATTAATTTATGTCAGATGTGTTGTCAGGTTTTACAGTGTGACTCAAAATTAAAAAAAATTAAACACAAAATCAAACAAATAAAACAAAATGACACATACATTTGTATTTTTACTGTAACACCCTGTTACAGATCCTCCACCCTGTGAAGCTGCTTCGCTGTGAATAATTCTCCTTACAGCTGATATCTTCAGAATTCTATTCAGGGCCTTTTTGTGGAGGATGAAGTCATTTATTGATTTGATTTTTAATGTGTGATTTAATGAACCGGGTGAGTTGGGAGAAGATTTCCTCTCAGGCTTCTGACATCATTTAGTTTTGAAGGAGGTGGTTCAGTCCTTGCTGTGACTCATGTAGTCCACTGCGGTCTTTAAGGTGCTTTTCTTCTTCGTGGCTCCATCACTTCCTGCTGCGACAAACACAGTCCATCCATTCAGAATCTTTTGTCCATCCGTTTCTTCTTGTGATGAACAAACTTCCTCTCCTTTGGGCGCCCGTGGCGGCCATCTCTTTTGTGTCTCACAGATGGGAGGAGGTGGAGAAGCAGAGTTTGAGGGTGAAGGGATTGGAGCTGTCTGCACGGCAGAGAGGGAGAACAAGCTCAGTTTACACTGACATAAAGACGGCACACAGTCTGCTTGAAGGCTTTCAGTCCAGTATAATTAACATAATGAATCTATTTTACAGACAAACAACCTCCCTCCCAGCAGTGTTGTTGTTGTTGTTTATTTAATCTGTGTGAATCCTGACATCTGGTGGTGAATGCAGGCAGTGACCTGTCTGTCTGCCGATAGTGCTCGATCACAGGGGTATGTAGTAATAGATTACATCAGTAATTAATCAGTAGGGCTGTCCCCTAATAGTCAATTTAACCCCAGTCGCTGAGAAGAGACTAACGGCTCATTCACACTGCTGACCTGACTGGTCCCAGACCAACAGACTGCTCTGCACTGATGTGTGTTCTGACCCCTTTCTAGATAGACCAAGCAATTAACTGTTTTCAGCAAGTTTGAGCTACAGTAGTCGTCTGTGTGTTGGTTTACCACACCGGGCCAGCCGTCACACCCCCACCTGCATGCAAATGAGCCGTCGGAACCCCCATGGACTCCTGGTCTTTCTGGTTCTGTTCCTTCCCTTGGACCTACTTTTGTGATAGGTTATGAACCTCCTGCAGGACGCTGGGAAACCCCCCCCACATAGAGCTGCAGGTTTTTGGAGATTGTTCTGACCCCGTTCCATCGCACAGTTGTGGTCATCCTTGGCACACCAGGCTACCTCAAACACTCACGCTGCCCATTGTTCTCTTCTAACACATCAACTCAGGACCAAATTCAGATTTCTTGCATTTATCCCCCTCATGAACAACTTCTAGTACTTGATAAAAGCTCCTTGTGGTTTCTCAGTTGAACCGATTTGTGCAACTGTAATCAGCACAAAAAAGGCAATATATATATCTGCAGACACAGAAAACAGTGACATGACTTCATGTGCAAACAAGCTCTCACTAGTGTGTCTGCGACAGTTGAGTACTTACTGGGTATTCTGATCTGGTGGTGGTTGAGGACGGTCAGAGCCTCCACAGCTTCAGTTTTACTGTCAAACTCCAGCAGACCAGACAGGGTCTTAGAGCTGGCTGCTGGGACGAAGAGGAGGAGGAAAATGATGAAGAAGCAAAAAGGAGACAGGAAAAGATGTCTGAGTTGCAAGTCAGATCTAGATATTATTTTAAAATTGTATTTATAACTTTGAGCTATAGTTCGATGTGTTTAGTGTAGCTCCTCTTCTGCTGTGTGATTGGTTAAACTCACGTTTGGCATCAAAGACCTTGAACTTGGTGAAGGCAGGAACATTGTGTTCAGTACAGAGCTGCGGACGAGACAGAGAGGAGAGAGGTCAGACTGTTTCATTAGGAGTTTCTGCTTTCTCTTCTCTCCTTTTAAGGGATAATTCCAGTTTATTGTGGCTCCAAGGGTTGTGATAACTTTGCGCTCCTTTGTAGCGTTTCAGGGAAATAAGGACTCAAAACCAATTTTTAAAATTTATTTCATGATTATAAATGCCATAAATTCAGTGATGGATTTTAAACATTTGAAACACACAATACAGACATTGGTGAAGTGTGTCAAATGACAAAAAAAAAATCTAAATTTTGCACCCAAAACATTACAAGATACTCTAAAAGCCAAACCGCATCACTGATGGTGTCCCACAGAGCTTCATACCTGGCCCCATTATCTTCTCAGTTTACATCTCTTCAGAAAGCTCAGGTGTGACCTCACCTTGAGCAGCTGGTGTTGGCTGAGGGTGGGCGGGGCATTGTAGAAGTGCAGGACAGTGGCGGGCGGCTGGATGATGTTCCTGTTGTTCTGTGCACTGCTGAAGCGGTTGTTTCTGGTCAGACTGAAGTCCAGGTAGCTGCTGCTGCCGTCGGGCAGCTCAAACACCTGACTGGGAATCACCGCCTGCTGCTTGGACACACTGAGAGGTGACGGAGGGAGGTAGGAAGGGAGGGGGTTGATAGATCCATGGATGGATGATAAACAAAGGCATGTAGGCACAGAGGGATGGGAGGGAGCAAACAGAGAGAAGAAAGTAGGCAGTCAGGGTACTGAATGGGACAAAAGTGTAAAGCTCATGTTAAAATTATCATCTAGGGGATCATGAATATCTACAGTCAACATCATTCCGGTTCATCTTTCCAAGTGTGAAGTAGAAACTACAGAGACACACTGGACCTTTAAAATTAGAAAGTAAGCGTTTCATTTAGAAATCTTTTAAAACAGATCATTAAATGATATGTGTTGATTTAAATTTTTTGTAACGTTATTTTTAAAATGTATCTAAATGTGTTAAATTTGACACCACACCGGGGTTCACTGTTTGAGTTCATTATATAATTTAGTTACAATGAACAACAATCAGCTGTTCTCTCCAGTTATTGTTATTATTATATATAATATGAAATATCCATAAAATATACTCAGTGGTAGACTCCTATAAGGAGAACCTTTGTCTCCACCTGACAACCAACCTTGGTTATATTTCCTAAACGTGGCAGTTATCAGCGCTCACCAGACGTTGAGTTTTTTGCCGAACACCTTGATGCTGTTGAGGTGAGTGACGGCTCGGTCAACAGCATACTCATCTCCCATCTCCACCAACGCCGTGCCGGGAACACTCTTCATGAACTTCACCTGCAAAAACAGAAGCTTCCAAATGACTGACCGGTGGCAGACTGGGACATAAGGTTTACTCCTGTTTACTGCAACACACAACTCTCTCTCTCTCTCTCTCTCTCTCTCTCTCTCTCTCTCTGTCTTGCCCCTCTCTCTGTTCTCCTCCCTCTCCCTCTCTCTGGGTCAGCACACACCTTCTCCACGTTGCCGTAGAGACAGAAGAGGTTGAAGATGCAGCTGCAGTTCATCTTGGCGGGATGGAGGCCGCTCACCATGGCAACTGAGCTGGAGGCTGCGAGGCCCAGGAAGGAGGAGGAGGAGGTTTTAGGGAGGAGAAGAGGGTAGGAGACCATGTCCTGCACCTCCTCACTGCTCCTCCTGTACCTGCTGTTAGCAGGCAGAGGCAGCAGGGGGCAGTGTGGGCCTGCAGAGACACAAACAGCACACTGAAGTTAGAACTGAGACAGCTGGAAGAGAGAGGACAGACAAACAGACAGGACAGACAGACAGACAGACAGTACCGTAGCCATTGGATGGATGCTCTCCCAAGATGGCCTGACGCTGCCTTCCCTTTCCCCGCTCTGCAACACACACAAACACAGAAATCTAAGCCAAATAAGAGCTGACAGGAAGATCTTACTGTCGCTAGTGGCACTGTCACTCACTCACTCACACACACCACACACACACACACACACACCACACACACACACAACAACAACAAGTTTAAGTGCCCAGCAGTCTGGTGTAATTAGTTGGGGGTTAGCAAAGTCCTGACCCACATAAGGGTCGGAGCAGCGGGAGGTTGAAAGTGAGTGGGCTCCTCCTCAGCAGAAGAGACTCTATTTTCAGGAACCCTCCGCAGCAGCTTGCAGCCAGGCTCTCCATGGGCTGCAGTTTAACCTGTGAGTCTCCAGGCAGAGCTCACTGAGCCCTGTTTCACCTTCAAACTTGGAACATCTTGGTACAGTATTTATTATAAAACACCAAAATCCTACTTAGACTTCTTACTTAGACTGTCAGTGTCTGTCTGTGTGTGACAACCATGGATAAAGAGTGGATACAGCATTGAAGGCTGCTAGAGATAAAATGTATATCGGACTGAATGGATCAAATTCTGATAGTGAAACAAATCATATTGCTGTAATATTGTTGTCACAACTTTTTGGGCCAGTGTGCATCACGTTAAATATAAAGCTCTTCCAAAATGGTGTCGAAACCTGAGATTTAATCCAAGAGCAAGATTGTGCTGGAATGCTTGCTAGCATCTAACTAGTTAGTGATAAGTCATAAACATGGATACGACACACACACACTCACAAACACACACTCACACACACACAATCCTTTTGAACTAAACTGACAAATAAATGCATTGACAAACAGAAATATTGACTAACTGAATGATTTTTTGCATTAATAAAACTGAGGAAAATATATTCAGAATTTGATTTAAATAATTTCAAATTGAATCAGTGCAACGTGTGTGTGTGTGTGTGTGGCATCCTACCTCGGTGCAGGAGGAACGGTTTGGTGTAATCCCAGCTGCTGTTGTCATTGCGGACGACGTTCAGTCTGTTGGGCTGCAGGGGGCGACAGAGCACAGCACCTCTGGGTGGGTGTGTGTGCATGGGCATAAGAGCAACGGTGTGTATGTGTGCATGCACCTGAGTGTGTGTTGGTCCAGAGCACTGTGTTTGTGTGTGTGTTTACCCGAGCGTATTCGATCTTGAGCGTGCAGCAGCCAGCGTAGATGTCTGCTCCGTTCAGAGCCAGTTTGGCCTTCTGAGCGTCCTCCACTGACTCAAATGTTAACAAGCTTGTTAAGGGTGACTCATAAGGGTGACCAGAAACTAGCCACTCAAAGGAGAGAAACACAACCACCGCTGTCTTCAAGGAGCTCTACTGTCATCTTTAATTAACCTAAATTTGATCTTAAAAGATTGTCCTGTTTTCAAGAGCAGCAACAGGTTCTTTAATTAAGTGATTACAGCTCGTCATCATGTTGCATCTACAGCCGTAAAATTGAAGTTGAATTCTCTATTAACCTTTAAACTGCGGCTTTAATGGATTCGAGTGGTGGAATGTACTTAAGTACAATTTTGAGATACTTTACTTTAGCATTTCCATTTTATGCAAATAATAATAATAATAAATTATCATGTATTATTATAGATTGAACTACACAGCAGTGAAGTAATTAATGCTATAAAAATTATAATCCAATAATGTAGTATATATTATTCTGAAATTACCCATTCTGCATGTTGAGTAGTTTTGATACTTAAAGTGTATTTTGATGCTAATGCTTTTACTTGATGAGAAAAGAAATGCTGAAATATTAATATTGCACAATTATGAATAATTGCCAAGAGGTTTTTCCTTGCCACTGTTGCCAGTGCTTGCTCATGGTGTGAACTTTTGGGTCTCTGTAAATCATTTTATAAGGAGTAAGGTCTATTCGAAAGGTATCCTGAGATAACCTATGTTATGAATTGACAAATAAAAATGAATTGAAAAATGGCATAGTGTGCCTCACATGGGGCACCATTTATTGGGGTAGTAATGAACTGTTGAGTTGATTTGATCCAAATTTGATTGACATTCAACACAGTGTGGTGTCCCTTTAAATCTAAAAATGAATAAATAATGACTTGAATCAATATTAAAGGTCATTATGGCGCCACCCTTAAAGAAGGGTAACCATAGGCAATAATCAATTTGAAATTCTGATTAATATTAAAATTAATAACTATGACCTAAATCACCATATTATTACCTGAAAATAAGAATTGTTGTGTTATGGTTATTTTCGAATGAGACATTTTGATATACAGAGGGAGCGGGTCCTCTTCTACAGAGTCCACCATTTTTCTACAGTAGCCCAGAATGGACAACACTGGCTCCAGATAGGGGCGTTCACATTTTTGGTTCATTTCTTGGCCAATGTAGTTACTCCTACACACTTAAAATGCTGAGCTGTATTCAGTTGCTTGCAATCTGCAACTTCACCACTAGATGGCACTAAATCCCAC